ACAATGCACACTTGTAACAGGTAAACGGTAGCACAGTTTATGCTTGAAAGAAGTTACCCTTAGAATGTACAAATATAAATAAAAGTAACTATATAAATATATAATTTTTCTATTCTGTTAACTTACCAAAACTTGCTGCGAAGATTGCTCCTTGCAATGATAGTATACCATGGATTGCTCGAGCAGTAGTCCCGCCTGATCAATGAAACGCATAGAAACTAACTTTGTAGGATTTTTTGCCACTTGGAGAACATTGAAAACAGCATGAGGTAATGGACTGCTACTGCTGTTATCGCTAACTTGGAAGTTCCTCTCATAAGGAAATTTACTCTCCACAATACTCCATGCCTTTGAATCCTCCTCTCCTAATCTCCAACTCGCGGCAGCGCAGATTACAGCTCCCCACCATAATCCAATCTCATCTTCGCACGCTGTAAAAATAAAGAGAAAAAATTAAGTACATTATACAATAATATATTCATTGACAAAAAACAGGCCAATGTTACATTTGTTTAGTAAGTATATATTGAATATAATTACTATAATAATATTATAATAATAATTAGAAACACACATTAATGTCAGATATTTTTTGAAAATTCAAAGTGAGATTTTTCTTGGAGTGTTAAATAGTCTTCGTACTTGCTACGCTGATTTTATCGGCACACGGGAAACAAGCTTCCACTTCTGCAGAAGCCATAATCATCCGTCCTAATTCAAGTACAGAGGATGCATGACATTCTCCAATCATGCCGGTCAATAAACGTAGACACTGCTCGATCAGATGATCCCTGTACGCACGAGCCGCGTATGACAGCGGATCTGCTCGACTGCTCTGTGATGTGAATTCGCTGTCAGACTGTTTCTTGTACTGCCACTTCTGAGATGCCAAAAACCTCGCGCCTTCGTCGGTCATGATCCATTTCAATTTCGGGGGAACGGCGCAAGAGGATAGTAAGACGCGTGCTTTACCCAGATAATATTTGTGTATGTACGGAAAGAAGGACTGTTTCAGACACAGTGCGACGTTCATGTAGATCTCCGCCAAAAGTGGCTTTGGCATACTCTCACCGGCAGTTTCCGCATAATTGATAGCGCAAAGAGCAAGATACAACGTCGAGTCTTTAGTTCCTTCAGACATACGAAGACAGAGCATATGCTGATAAACGATGGCAATTTCTACGGCAGACGTCTCCGCTTGTTGCCGTTCTGATTTCTCTGACAACCACTTCCTGATGTGCATGACCCATCTACCCAGCCATAATTTGTGAAGAGTTTGTCGCACTATTTGCCATGTGGTTGCGAGAAAAACTTCCGTACGTGATAACGGGAAGGATCGACCAAAATATTGTAAGCACTGATGTAAATCTCGATATGCCTGATTGCATTCGTGTTTGGATATGTTGAATTCGGCCTGACGTCTCCAACGACGTATTTCGAGGAAAATTTTACTGTCGGTAGGCAAAATGGGATCACCGTAAAGTAACAGCTTGTAGAGACAGATTGCTAAGAGTATCAGATTGGTAAACCAGAGGACAACATTGCTCCATGGTTGCTTGTCCGACTCCAGCTGATCTGTAAATAAAAAAAAGCATATTAACAATAAAAAAAAGTCGAAATCGTGATTGGAAAAAATATATAATTCACATGCATTTGTTACCTGGATAATTGAGTATCGTTCGTCCGTCCAGTTTCGTGTTCACATAATCATAATTGAATCTTCCAATATTGTTCATGAGAATACCAAGAGGATTGAATGCTAAAAATAATAGCATGAATCCGCACAATGTTAGCCGAGTGTGATCTTTCATGCCTCCAATAGATGAAGTAGGTACAGGATGTAAATTATGCAACGCATCCGGATCGTCCTTTACCGACGATGGAGATGGTGGTGACGGTGGCGCAGGTGCAGGTGAAAGAGATGGTTCGCTCGAATCCGAACGTGGAGGTGTTAGCTCTCCACACTGAATTTGTTGATACAAATCGCGAATATTGTGCCGTTGCGCAGACATCTTCAACGCCATATTCTCAGCCTTTAATTTTGCACTGTAGTTCTGTAGATGTCTATGTTGTATAAAATAAGAAATTCAAAAGCTATTCTTTTTGTTAAATATACCATGATATAAAACTAAATTCTTATCCTTGCCTGATGTAGTCGATGGTTTTTCGTAAAATTGCTGACTTGTTCAGCTTGGCGTCAATTCCGACTACAATGTTTTTTAGTTCAATTATCTTGTCATTGATCGACGTCCTGTAACGACGCTCAATAGCATTGTGGGCACTGCGTTTTACTTCCCTCACTCTCGGTACGCTCACATGTGTACCTGTGTTTAGACGATTAATCTGTACCTTGTCAGTGTCCAATACTACGGGTATCCCTTCAATCAAATATATAAAATTACAATTACATTCTTATTTCATAATTATTTATTAAAATAAAGTTTTGTAGCTTTAAGAATAAATAAAATATAATAAAATGTCTATATGAGTATTTGTGGTTAAGGAGATAAAATAAAATTTATAAATAATATTGAAATACACTTAACATCCAATGCACTTACAGTCAACCTTATTGTTAATCTTAGTATATTCTATTATAATTGTATAGGCTTTTTGCTTATATTTAATAATCATTCCTGTTTATATCCATATAACACAAATCTCTAAGAAACATCTAGAAAACATTCCCAATATTGTAAGAATGTTTCCAGGATATTCTTCAGATAGAGTATATTGTGTGAATATAATAAATATAATAACATTGAGAAATTTCTCCACTTAATTGCATTTATTTACCGGTAGTTAATACCGTTCCATTAGTAGTATTCACAAGAGTATGTATTTGATGTGGAACAGGAGTTGATGTGATGGTTTGTCCACCCTTTGAATACACGAGAGATTCTGACTTAATTAATTTGGCTGGAAGAAGTAGCTGTCGCTGTTGAGTAACTGGAGCTAGGGTTACAACATTTGGCGACTGTACATTAAAATTCATATTTTGTGGTATCGTGTACTGTGAGCTGAACACTGTAGGTTTTGTCGAAGTCACTAATCTCTGTGGTCTGTTTTGTGGTACCGATGCAATGTCCTGCTGTACATAAGTAACAGGTGTAGTGCTATCTGTCTGTTGCGCCACCATAACATTTGAGTTTGATGGTTCAAGGATTGCTGGATCTTTAAAGTCCTTAAAATCTTTAAACTCATCATTATTGATATTTAAGAAGCTAAACGTGTCTCCATCAACTGGCATTGGCTCATCCAATTCAGAAAGTAAAGCCTCGTCACTAAAAAGTTCATTCTTTAACAACTCGTTCTCGCAATTCGTCAAAAGATCTGCAAATAAAAAATTTTATTTTATTAATAATAATAAAATATCAATACTAATATTTAATAAAATATTTAACATTAATACTTGACATAAAAAATATCAATTCTTGTCAAATATATTTTAAAATTTCTTTAAGTATTTTTAATAAAGTATAATTATCAAAAATCATGTAAATTAAAATAATTATATGTAGCATATACCTATGATTTTATAAAGCAGCAAATTATTAAGTAAATAAATTCAATAATTTGAAGGGCTACAAGCCAGATACAAAAACAAGAAAGTGTATTTAAATATTAAAAAACATTAAATTTTATTGTTATTAAGGCCTATCAATGTAAGATTAACTTTGATCTTGATCAATTTGATTCAATTTCTTTTTTTTAATTTCTAGAATATTAAATGTATAGTATAAAATATTTTGTTATTAATAAATAACAAAAAACTAATAAATTATAGTATTTATTCAAACCAAGCCTAAATAATCAATGCGATATGTTTATGTTGTTTTCAAATAAATGCATAGCGACAATCAAAACAGATAAGAGACCAAACAAGATTATCTCCGTCAACAGAGCAAGGTAGGGTGAGTTATTTTTTAATTCGATTGATAAATCGCATTGTATACAAATGTAATTTTATTTCATAAAGCGCAATTGCGCATAATGTGATCGATCAATTGATGAATTAAAAAATTCGTTTGTAATACCTAACCTAATGATAAAATGTCACGTTAACTTCTCGAAATACGCGCGAGTTCGGGGAAAGAGAAGGATAGAGAAAGTAAAAGAAAGAAGACACAATACGAAAAAAAGCGGAGCGTGTAAGACCTACCATCGATGCCAGTGACTTCATTTAAATTGAAGCTGTCATTCGATTGAAAATTGGGAAAGTCATTCTCCTGGGTCGGTGCCCAACCGCCCGAGTCTGCCATTGCCGTCGCCGGCCTCAAACGGCTCAAACGTTCGCGATCACGCCGAATAAAAACTCGCGAGCTGTCAATTTTGCGGAGCGAACATTCGACACATCAAAACGCAGTAGACAAAAAATTACAAACAATCGTACGACCCTCGTGCGACCAATCCGAACCGTCGCTGCCGATCAGACGATGTTACGTCATCGACGCCAGTGACGCGGTTCCTTTAAACTTCGCAAGAAATCGTGAAATGCTCATTGCTCACGCCTCCATAGGTCCGTTCGAACACGGAAGAAATCTTGAAGCTGGTTTGTTCAGAAACAAGCATGTCGTCATGCCGGAAACATGTCGCTTATTAAGGGTCTGCGCACAATGGAGAAACAGATATTAGATATTAAAATATTAACCTATCAGAATTGTGTAGTCCGGTGTAACTGGTATCTGATAGGTTAATATTTTAATATCTAATATCTGTTCCTCCATTGTGCGCAGTCCTAATGGGCGCATTCAGCAGAAAAGAGCGCTACACGAGCGCTCGCTATTATTGGTGTATTCTTTTAGATCATCCAATCAGAATTTTAAATCTGGAAGAATAACAGCGAGCGCTCTCGTAGCGCTCTTTTCTGCTGAATGCGCCCAATGATCGCGAAAAAAATATCACTAGAATCGCGATCGATGAATTTCGACCTCAGAGGTTTTCACCAATGATTTTTAGCAACTTTACATTTGGCGGCAAATCATTTCATTTCAGTAACCATCAGTAACCATCAGTAACCAAGATTAGAGCACTGGCTGCGTTCGGTATTTCCATCTTTCACTATTCGATTTGAATCTTCAATGCGTAACGTAGTCTGATTCCAATCGTTGTTTTTAATTAATTATTCGAATATTTTCGTTTATTTATATTTTAAGTCAGGAGATATCAATTGTGTAATGTTCAATCGTGTCTATAGATACAGTTTTGCTCGCAGTCGTTGGCTTCTGTAAAAGCCGTTACAAAAATGGATCAAAATTCTCAAGATAATTCAAACACGAATGATTTCTGTTGTACTTCTCTCACAGGTAAATTTATATTATTTTAGTTTCACATCTTTCATGAATTGTATCAACGTATTTGCCATATTGTGTTTTAATTTATTTTAAAAGAGACAGGAGCCATAAAACAAGAAAAAAAGTAAAAAAAAATAAAAACCAACGTATTACTTATATACATACTTGTATACATTATGTGTATATTCTTTATTTATATGCAAATGTTATCCGCAAAAGTCAAAACTCTAAAAGCGAGAGTTTACAATGTTTTTCTCAAAATTCAACGAAAGAAAGAGATACTTATTGTATACTTTCTCCCTAAGATACTAATTCATTTTAATTTCCATAGTTATTTTCTATAACTTTAATGTTATTCCATCTTTGGCTAAACTATTATGTTTATGTGATAATTTATCTATTGGATAAACAAAAGAGTAAAAAAGTTAAGGCTTAAGAGACAGTGAGTTTTTACTAAAAGGTGGAACAACCAAGTCTAAAAGATTGTAAAGTAAGACAGTACATTTTTGTCATTTTTAATGGAAAAGTATTTGCTCTTTTTACGAATTCTTCCATTTTTATTTTTATTAATGTCAATCTTGAAAGAGAGTATATATATCTTTCTCTTTTATAGAATTTTAGTAAAATTGAATAAAATCTATTAGAATTTAATAAAATTGCTTGTAGCTTTGTTTAAGATCTGTAGTCAAAATCAAACTTATATAGTGTGTTAATGAGATTGAATAGATGAAAAAAGTTCATATGAACCTATGTCTGGAAATGCCTTATTAAAAATTAACATTCAAGTACTTATAAATAGAATGCATTCAACTGTTTTTAGTACAATAAGAATATTCAAATGAGTTTGACATATTTTATTTTTTCAGAAGGATGAATATTAATTGTCAAACTTGAGAATAGCAATAAATGTATAAGTTTGCATATTTATAAATTTGATTTTTTTTACATTTATCCTTGTATGCACATTTATAAGTACCTATCATACAATAGTATTTCATACTTAATATTTGATTTTCTCCATTGAAAATTTCAATAAAGGATTTAGTAAAACATATTATAGATTTTTCTCTCTTAAAAATATGTCAATGCATTTATATATGCTTATCTAAAATATTTCATTTTCTCTCTTGTAGAAGATACATTAATTGTCTCAAGTGATGTTAAGTTTAATAATGGTCCATTGGAAGAGATAAAAAAGCCAATAAAACGTAAACATTCCAGCAAAATTGAGATTAAAAAGCAACAATTAGAGGAATATAATATTGCAGCAAACGAGCAAAGATACAAACAATTGATACATTTGTTGAACAAAAGTAAATTTTACTCGTCCTATTTGATAAATAAGATTGAAGGTGATAAAGATAAAAATAAAAATGAAAGGGCTCACAAAAAGAAGCGTCATGAATATGTTTCACAGAATTATTTTACCACTGAAAATGATGAAAATATATCACCAAAAAAAAAGACAAGAAAAATTCGTGGAAGAAAATATAATGTACAAGAATATGTATCTACAGAGGTAAATAAGATTTAGATTGTTGGATAATACATAGATTCAACAAAAATGTAAAGGACTAATAAGAATCAAATAATTAATGTGCAAAAATCTCTAAAAAAGGGTTACATTTTAATATAATATGTATCGGATGCTTGTACAATACCCTGAATATCTTAAGAATTGTATTTCGAGATCATAATATTCATAAAAATTTTTATAAATTATTTCACTCTTATTAGTCCTTTGCATTTTTGTTGATTTTATGTTAAAAGTCCTTTTATTCAAATTTATATAATACACAGACACAATTCAAAATTGATTAAATGTTTTATAGATAACAAGACAAGTAAAGGCCAGAAGAGAAAAAAAGAATTTGAGCATAGAAGAGATAGAAGAAGAATTATCCGCGAGTTCAGACAATGAACAGAACTTCAAACCGGAATCTAAAACAAACGTCAGCAGCATTGCTATTGTACCGACATTACCAAAATATTTTTGTGGTAATTTGTATGATTATCAATTAAAGGGTTTAGAATGGTTAAAGCTACTTTTTGAAAACGGTCTGAATGGAATCTTGGCTGATGAAATGGGCCTTGGAAAAACAATACAAACGATAGCTTTAATATGTCATCTTATGGAGAAGAAACAAGTAGGGCCTTATTTAATAATTGCACCTCTTTCTACTATACCAAATTGGATCATGGAATTTGAAAAATTCGCTCCCACCATACCAGTCATTTTATTCTATGGCACAAGACAAGAAAGAGACGTTCTACGTATAAAAATTGAACATACATATCATGTCGAAGATGATTATAAGACAAAGCCTGTTGTACTGACTACGTACGAAACAATATTATATGAAAGTAAATTTTTTCGATCTCTAACATGGAAATATATTGTAATAGATGAAGGACAAAGAATAAAAAATTGTAAATGTAAATTGGTCAAGTATGTAGCCATTAAAAACTAATTTTAATGTGATTTAAATTGATTACAAGTTTTTAGTAAAATAATAGATTTTTAATATACCTATTGGCTCTCCCCCCCCCCC